TCAGACGCCCAAAAGGCCTGCTGCGGCGAAACAGTCAGCGGCTGTGGAACAGAAGAAAGCTTCCTTGCTGCGCACCTTCTTTTGGACAGTCGTCTGGCACATTAAAGCCGGGCATCATGAAGCCCATGCAACTCTTCGCATCCTGCACACGAGAACCCACAGCAAGGCCTGCCCAAGCTAAGTCTCTTATTTCTGAGCGGCGAATCGAGCTCTCCTGGGCATGGCCCTCCATGCATTGCTCACAAGATGGCCCCGGTGACTTGCATCCCCACTGGCAGGTTGGGTTGACAGGACGGAAAGCACATTTACCAAGAAATGCCAAGAGATGAAAACATCAAACATCAGCGGCGACCTTGCAGTTATCCACACCGTATGCTGCAGTGTCAGCAAAGCCTCACCGCTTTCGCTTCGTCGCTTCGTCGCTTCGCTCCGCTTTGCTGCTTGCAAGACATCCGGCCATCGTTCCGGAAGAGCTCTGCCAAGCGGCACGAAGCGCACTTGCTGGAGAGACCTTGAACTTCCTCCGTAGACCACGCATTGCAGGATACAAAGGACCCGCGAAGCGAAGGATGCGAAGGCTGGAAGAGGCCTGCTGGAGGCAGCTTATAAACTTGTCCTTCTTGAGGGCAAGTGAAAACCTGGCAAATTTGCTTTGGGCACTCGAACCGGCCTGTCGCTTTGTCGCTTTGCACTCTGCTAAGCGGCCAAGCCGCGACATCGAGCCGCTAGCACATTTTCGGCTAGAGCGCTGAAAGTCACCGGAGCTGGACAGCCTCACAGGACGAAGCGCTGCAAGGAAAAGCAACTCCGAAGCAGAGCCTGCAGGCAGAGACGTACTCCTCTTTCGAGCAGTCGTTGTAGGTCTAAGTGTGTTCCGACATGTCATGACATGGAGTCTCGATGACAAAGGTATGCATTGTAGATTGCGCAGCTCTCTTTTCGATCTGCCTCAAGGCTGGTCACCCCGAGGCAAAGGCCAGAGGATCCTCGGTGGTAGTGGTAGTGGTAGTCGTAGTTGTCGTCGTGCTCGGGCGTGTGTACTTCTTGCCCGCGTTACCCTGGCCGGTAAAGCAAGACTCGCCAGGCTGTGCCCACAAATTTTTGAGCGCTGCCATGCGACCTCGAACTGTCCGCACGCCTCGAGACTTTCATAAACGCGGTCCAGCTCCTCTCTCACAGCCTCGCGCTCTGGGACTCTGGGACTCGGGATCGGAGGCGCTTTGCTCCGACCTCAAGGCGGCTTTCCGCTTGCACCGCGCGAGTTAGAAGCTGCCTGGCGTCCTGGCGGCGGATGCGGCACGAGACGGCGCACAGAGCCAGAGCCAGAGCCAGAGCTCCGCTGCGAGGTGGCCTCCAACTCTTTGAGCTTGCTGTGGGCATCCTGCGAGCTTAGAGAAACGCTCCTCCAGAAGAACACTTCCGAAATACCTTAAGCCAGCAGTGAAGGCTCCAAAACGAAGGGTGAGGCTCTTGGTGGCGGCCACCACATCAAAAGCCGGTAGTTCGAAGGGGGGAGGTCGCGGGATTCGGGGCCAGCTGCGGAACAGAGTGGTTACAGCTTGGGGTTGAACTGGCATCCTGCTGCTTCGTCTCCAGGTGAAAGAGTCGGGTGGAGATCTTCGCCTGCTCAAGACGGACTGTAGCAGAGACGGGAAGGAGTGCAAGGAGTGCGGAATGCTTGGACCTCCAAAGCATTCAGGGCGGAGTTTGCTTGCCAAATGGCCACCAAGCAGCTCCTCGGCAACCGGACCAAGTGCTCAGCGATGCTCAGCGTTTGCACCAGATGCGACGGCTGAGATGAAGGCAATGCTGCAAGGAGTGCGAATGCAACTGCGGCTTTCGCCCCCACCACGCCCTCCGACAAATGCACTTGAGACTTGCATGGCTCGACTCTGAAAGCCCCTGCCTCTGAAGGAGGCGGAGCTGTCGATGGAGTCTCCATCTCAAAATTTGTAAGGGCCATTGCTACTGGCTACCGCTTGACTCAGGCCCAGTTCCTTCGCTGCTCGAACAAGCATACCTTCTCGTACAGTGCATGCGTGTTCAAGGGAGATACTTCAACCCGACTTCGTTGTGGCTACTTTACGTTGCGCGATCACGTGGACTTGTCTTCGCCTGCTTGGGCCTGCGGCATCCAACATGCGAAATCATTGAGAGTTCTCAATTTTGTGGGAGCGGAGCTTGAATCTTGCCGGGTGACCACCACCCCCCACTGTTGACCCCCTCCCCACACCCCACACCCCCCTTCCAAAAAAAATGTTGAGACACTGCGACCCTAGTGAAAGAACCAAACTTGTCTCCCCACCACCACTACCACCACTACCACCACTACCACCACGGCCACCACGGCCACCACCGCCACCACCGCCACCACCGCCACCACCACCACCGCCACCGCCACCGCCACCGCCACCGCCACCGCCACCGCCACCGCCACCGCCACCCCCACCACCACCACCACCACCACCACCACCACCACCACCACCACCACCACCACCACCACCACCACCACCACCACCACCACCACCACCCCGCCCCACAACAACCAGAAGAACAAAATAATGTTCATCCCGCCCCTTGCAACCACGACACCGATAACCACAAACAGAATAACAATCAAAGGAAGGGGAAAGAGGGGTGGTGGTACGTCCCTCCCCTTGGTCGCGGCGAGGGAGGGTGGTATAGGGTGGTGGTAACCCCACGCGCTGATGCAGCAGAGACTACGTTGCGGAGAACTATATCGCCAAAGCAGGCAAGGGCGCCGTCGTGGAGACCGACACTGCGAAGTTCACAGATACCCGAGCCCGGAGATTCCACAAGGTCACTGCCAGTTCCCGAAGGTCGACCCAGGCAGCCACTTGAGCTTGACCTTGGCGATGGTTGTGGCATAGTAACGCATGCGTGGCAACCAGAAAGCACTGTGGCACTGCTGCTGAGTGCAGTGTCCCTTCCAACTCAGATCAAAACAATACCACCCTTCTCGAAGTGATCCTGCTGTGGCTTGGGCATCGCAGGAAAAGGCAATGAATGGTTTCCCGGAGCCCAAGACCACATCTGCAGGGCTGGGGATGTCAGGACTTGGGCCTGGGCAACCCCACGGGACCCGCGGACCTTCCCCTTCCGGCTTCCAAGGGCAACCGAGTTGCCGATTTGATGCGCGGTCCGGCATGAGTCAGGAGATCTTCCGCGCAGAGCTCTTAAAGCAATATGCGCATCTCAGACAAAACAGCCGAAAAACGCTTCAAGTCAACATGTACGGACCGCTCCCATGTCGGACGGCAAACTGAAGGTTGACCACCCGCCCCGACCTGTCCCATTCCCCTCACACCCGCCCGTTCCAGGACATGCACTTCAATAAATCTCGGGCATGACATGAGGATTCGTGAAAGCGTAGGTTGCATGCGCGGAAGCACATTCGAAGGGCAGTACTTGTCTGGAACTCAATTTTCGCAAGAAAGCTATCCCCTGTAGCAAGACTCGACCCCATAAATACCGAAACAAAGCCAACAGCGGGTGCCTTAATGGTGCAGCGAAGGTCCATGGACTTGGCATCCCAAATCTGAACCTCACCGACTCATCGACATTTTCACTGGCTACCACATCAGTTAACTGCGCCAGCCGTGCCCGAGGCCCCGACCGTGCCATCCATGCTTCCAGTTGCGAGCAGCAGCGTGCTCTTCGGAGGCGCGTTGCTGAACCTGACTCCGGCACGCTCAGTGTCACAGAGAGCTGATGCCCAAGTCAGCCCAAGTCCAGTGCGCGACGGCTTCTACCGAATCGATATGGCCAGGTAAGGGCTGAAGCACCTGCCCAGGCTAATGCAGTGGTCGCCAAGGAAGAGGACGAGAAGTAAAATGGCACGAAGCTGATATCGAAGCTTTGAAACTCTGCCCGGCGTAAGAATACATACAATCCCGGAAGGAAGAGCTTCCCCTTGCTGTGTTCAAAGAGGGCCACGGGCCTGGTCTCTGCTCGGCTTCGTGCTCGCTTAAAAATAGGGGGGACGGACGGGGACGGAAGTGTGTGTGTCTTCCAAGCCAAGCTTTGGAGTGCTGACAGCGGTTTGAGCCTTCTGGTGGTTTGCCCCCTCTGACGGCACCGTCGTAATCCGAGTGCTTGGGAGAAGGCATACGTGGCATAAATTCGAAACTCGTCGGAAAGGGCTCTGCGCACAAACTGGAGGGACCAAACACACCGTGGATCTGCAACCTTGCCCGTCTCGATCTGCAGAATCTTGGCCGTGGCATCCTCGGCGCCGGTCACCACCTTGGACAGGGCTCAATCTCTTGGAGACACAGCAAACCTGACAGGTTTCAGCAGTGGGCCCCCGGCGATTGGCGATTCGGGATGTGAGCAGATGGAAATGATCGAACTCTCATGAACCTGCCAGGAACAAGCCGGTGGAACCCACCGCCTTCGGTCGTTGTGCATTGGCAGAAGTTACCAGCCTCTCTTATGTGATGCTGTGGCGTTCCTGCGCGTGGATTCCACCTACCGCCATGATCTGCTCGATTCTGCTATCCCGGTCGGACTGGAGTCTGACGAAGCAGGGGCATAAGACGCTGACACGATGACTCCATGATCTTCAGAACCAGTGACAACAACCTGCAACACGAGATTTGTTGTCTGCCTGGCTTGCCGCTGCGCACTGCATGCGTCTCGCTCCATCGATGGTGCCTTGCCACCCAGGCCCCAGCACCCGCACGTCACGCCTGCTCGGAGGTGCATTTCAGGAGGCGGAATCTTCACCTTGACAGGGCTACGAGCCTGCCGCGTGGCCTGCGAAAATCTGCATCACTTTGCCGCTGGGGGCCTCAGCACGCCGACACAACACATGCGCCGTGACGAGAACGACCGGGCAGTGCACCCACCACATCCATGCCATCGTGTCGTTCGACCCTGCGAGGATGGCATGGCCTCAATCTGCTGTATTCAACTGCACTCAACTGCACTCTCCAAGAGCGCCACCCTTCGGATGCCAAAGGATCCACTCTATCTCCTCTCGCATGGAGCGAAGGGCCGCTGCAAAAGCTGAGCCGGGCTCGGTGCAGCGTGCACACCTTTCCTTCGATGGTCCCTCCAGGTGCTGCACCAGGGATCCATCTCCGGAGTTCCAAATCCTGACCCAGAGCTAACTGCGAAGAAGCCCGCGACATCAGACTGTCAGAGCAGCGGAGTCCTCACCGTGCCATCATAGGAACCTGTAGCCGCGTAGGCTCCATCCGTGCTGAAGGCCACCTGAGAAAACTGGTGGCACCGCACGTGCAACGAGGCAAGTCACCAGGCCTCCACCACGGAGTCTGTGTGTCCTTGCCTGTTTGCAACTTGGCCACTCGACTTCATGCAAAGGTATCGAAGCTGTAAGGCGAGGACAGGCGACACCTTTGGCTACACCTGAGGGAGCCATCCTCACAAAGATGGCCGATACTCTGGGAAGTTCCGGGGATCCTTGAACTGAAGTTGTCACCGAGTCCTTCTCTTCTATAGACCAGAGAACGGCAGAATCATCCTGCGTGTTTTGGCTGAAAGGCTTGCCCAGCACTGGACACCATGTCGAAAGGATTCTCTCTAGCCGGTGCGATGCAGAAACAAACTGTGCAGTCCTGACACTGAGGGTGGCTGCAGTGATAGTGTGGGTTGCGAATTATGTAAAAACGTGATAAGTCCGGAAAAGCTTCCTCCCCCATCGCGACCATCCAGCGACTAAAACGGAAGTGTGTTTAAAGATTGTCGCTGCGTGAGAGAAGACGTTTCGGAAGGGGGCGTGCGTGAATTCTGCAAAGGAGAGTTTTGTGAACACGGTTCCAGAGCTACCCTTCCGCAGCTTCCAGCCCTATACTTGGACATATTTCGCTTCGAGAGCTTAAACTGTGGGCGAGAGGCCTCGAGCGAGAATAACTCCTCTGCGAATCTCTCCTTGTTGATCTCGAGTGGTCGAAGGAAGCGTGTCTGCGATTTTGCACTGCACACCGCGCCTCCTGCGCATATCCCCCCACCTTCCGCCCGAGCCGGCCTGAAACTTGAAGCCTCAACTCTGCATCCTAAAGCGCCCAACACAGGAGGCAGGGAACTAAACCACAGCGGCGTTGCGTTTGCAGAAGGCAGCGTTCAGGGAAGAGTCTAAGGCCTGGGACACCTGGGTGTTACGTCTTGGTCCTGTCCGTTGTGCAAGCGCGCAGACATATCATCTTGACAATCTCGCATACTCCTCACATTTCGGCAACGCGCTGGCTCTAACATCTTCCAAATCTCGCACTTTCATCCTCGCATCTGGTTCAGCCCTTCGCTTCCCTCCGTCGATTTCTTGTGCGGCTGTTCGTGCTGAAGATTCTTGAGAGTAACTGCAGAAGTCGTCAACGTACAAAACTCCTTAACTCCCAAGCCCCGAGCCAACATTCGTTCAACAAGAGCGTCCTGTCCACCCGTGAGCAGAATACTCCTGCCACAAAGAGCTCATTTGTCGAACTGCCACGGGATTGCCCTGCATTCCACTACAGACACCTGTCTGTGGGGCAGATGGCCACCGACAGCACGCTGTCCTCGTGAACCTGCATCTCCAGCCACCACTCAGAGCCAGCAACACTCACTGGCCAAGGTCGGAGCCACTTTCGCCTTACCATCCAAACAGGCAATTCGACGTGGATCAGTCCGTGCAACGAAGCGAGCTCAGGCCAGCGACCAATGCATCGTCAGTTGTAACGCCGGCCTCCTCAGGACAACGATTTTGGATGCTCTTGCGCTGAGCTCAAACACTTGACGATCAATGCACCAACAGAGCAGTCGTCGCACACAGCCCCCCAAAGCCCCCTCACCCCACCGTGCACAAATCGGACGAAGGACGCGGACCAGACGCACATTCCCAGCCCCACGAGTCAGCAAGACGTGGCGAGGCCCGTCAGCATCTTTGCGTTTTCGTTTGCTTGCACATGACAGCGTGGCGACCACAGAGGGAAGGTACTCCGCCACTCGCGCTTCTCATGCGGTGTCAGTGTGACCGTTTGCTGTCAATCAGACCACGAGCGGCTGAGCCCGTGCCTCATCGGAGTAAATCTCGCTCTCCGGGATGACGCCAACCTGAAGTCGAATTTGGACGATGCCACGCCCGAAGCATCCCTGCCGCCGTAACCTCCTCATCTCCCATGTCATCGCCTGGGCTCGCTGCTAAAGACATTCGCATCTTCAGGCAGTTTGAAATCAATATCCGAGGGAGGGTACCGCCGTCGTCATCCGGCGCGTCATCATCCTCTCTTATAGGGTCGAAGACATGCAGCATGAGTTGCGTCCAGTCTGCTGCCTCGAACTCTACTTCCAGACAATCCCCAGTCTGGAACTCCGTGTCAAGCTCCTGACCCATTTCGTCATATAGTCATGAGAAGGTCGGCCGTGCCGTGCTGCGTGAGGGTGCCTGCCCCTCGGCGCCGCCATCCCATCCGACAACTTCCATGGCCTCAGGCGCTGGGACACACGGAGACATAAGGAGACCAAGGAGGGTGTCGTGAGAGGTTGCCTCATCCCCACGTCCCTGCTCCTGGGCCATGGCCTCACGATGCTCTGCCAAAAAATACAGACTGCCCCACAAAACCACTGGACTGCGTGGCCTAGCATGGCTTTGCCCCTTTTGCCGGCCTCCAGAGTCTTATAAGGAGCACGGTGTGAGGCGGTGCGATGGGGTCTTCTGGAAGTTGAATGGGGCTAACAGGATTTAGTGCTGGTATGGCTGTGGACACTGTTGGCTGGCACTCTGACTGCTTTTCAAACGGCTGGCATAGAGTGAGTACATGCTACCACATGCTGCATGCTGCGGGCCGAAGGACTCGGCAAGAAAACTGATGTGTCTTTCAGAAATCATCAACGATGGAACAAAGCAGAAGGGAGGCACCGCATCAGAAATATTGTCACCGAGAACCTGTGCCTCGGGATGCTTCCGCAGAGCATCAAAACGGAAGCCTCGAAGCTCTGAGATCGGAACGATGCGCTGCAAGTTTGTCACGTCTATCTTCTTGTCCCTGCAGAGCGGTAGTTGACCCTCTGCGCTGAAGCTGGGCTTCACGGAGCTCAGAAGCTTCCAGGCACCTCTGTTGTGGCTCGAGGTCGTCCAGATAGTCAAAGACCTCCTGCATGTTGTCCCTCACAGGGTGCATCTCGAGAAATCGACTGAGTTAACTAAGCCTGTGGGGACTGAGGTGCATCGTCGGGCTATGTCGGGCTTATTCAGCACTGTCACGTCCGCCGAAGCTGAGAACTCCAGCATGAACACCGGCTTCCCTTCGGGATGCCCGGTGCCGTCTGCGGTGTTGAGATTCACTCTGTGAATCTTGTACAGCATCTGCAATGAGCGTTTCTGAGCTTTCTTGGAACTATTGAGACGAAGGCAAACCACCGATTGGGACTGAGAAGGCGGATACCGCTCTGTAGAGAAACTGCCAGCAAGCAGGTGCATGCAGTCATTATCGGATCCAACCAGGTCTAACCACAGACCATGACAGTGCCGTGGTTCCGGAAGCCGATGCTTGCTCCGCTCCTGAGCACGAGGCAGCAACCCATTTGGCATCACAAACCTCCCCGCAAGGGCCAGTGTGCGGGAACTGTCTGCAGCTTGAGGTCTCTCAGACTCCGGAGAGAAAGTTATCCAAGGTATCGAATCTCCTCAGCCACGACTGCGAAGTTTTTTTGGGTCTGACTCTGTAAGGCTTCAGATGTCGAGGCACGACCTCGGCTGATGGACCTCAGAAAGACAGAATCACTGTCTCTGTCTTGGCTCCCGCTTCTCTCCGAGGCGCTGACCTGATGGTCCTGCTCAACGCTCTCAGACAGGTCAAGAAAGGCCTTATTGGCGTCACACGGGATTGAGCAGCATGGAAATGTTGCAGAATATCTGCGGTGATGACTGAGGCAGAAGCGTGCAGAGGGGTCACGCTCTCAACCTCAACCGGAGCTTCAGGAGCCTCAGTGGAGCTCGTGGATGGTGCCTCCTGCGCCAACACCGGATTCGAGAATTCGGGCTATCAGCTACAATGCAGCAACTTTGTGGCATGCAGCCCAGGGTGGCAGTGAGGTCATGTGAATCCAAAACGCAGTCGCCAGAAGTAACCCCCAACAGCTAAAGTCTTGCAAGTCATGCTGCTGGTCACTCTCCTCGGTGCACCCGCAAGACTGCTCGTCTTGCGGCACGCCAGCAAGTCTAACCTTGCACTTGCCAGGATCCTCGCAAAGGACAGATTGCCTTCAGTGACTGAGCCTGACAGCTCAGGGTGTGTGTCTCACTCCTGGTGATGTGGGCTGCTCTCTGGGCCAGCCTCAGGCACGGTGGACCGTTTACGAGACAAGGTCCCGAGACTGCACATGCGCGAACTGCCAAACACCGAAAAGCTCTCAGCGAGTTGCAATTGCTGCATCTGCAACTAGCGGGTTTCCTGCTTTTCCAGGAATGATGCAAAATGATGCAAAGGCAAACCGCCAAGCCTTCAGGCGTTCGGTGTCGAGAGCAGCACAGCACCTGGCTCATTCAAGACTTCCCGACGCGAAAGGACGTTAGCCACCAATCTGAGCTCAAGTCCCCCGACAGCTCTTGGAGGAAGCCCAGGACCTTTCAAGTCGACTGAGTTGCCCGGTGCTGGGAAAAGCTCGAGACCCCTGCCATGTCACATGGTCTCCATTGATGCCATGGCCTGCCAAGGGCCACGGCTGCTCATGTACGCATTGAGCACACCCTTTTTTAGGGCTTGCAGTCCAACCTGCAGCATCGGCAGGTCTTTCTGCAGGCCCCCGTCTTGAGATCAATGGCAGCGGCACGGCAAGCTCATGGAAGCTCATCGTCTACTGTGATACAGCGCCCGGATCAGCGTGAACTTCGAATCCATTTTGAGCATTCCTGACAAGAGCTCGCAGTCCTTCAGGCCTCGCACTGCGAACTGCAAAATGGTCCAACTTGGTGACCGTTCTGCATGTCTGCCGTTCCAGCTGAGTCTGCAACCTGCCGACAAAGCCTGAGTCGCACATGCATGGATATTTGCAGACTCACAGTCCTGCTGGTTTGCACTAAATTCCCAAGGAGCTGGCACCCCGCTTCAGGCCACGCCCGATGAAAAGCAGCTTGCTCTTCGGAGCGGATGCATTGGGGGCCTCTCCCGCAGCAGGCCGCAAAAGCGAAAGGAAGAATCATGCACCAAGGATACCTCCTCGATTTCGAAGAGCTTGCCGACACCTTGCAGCGCCTTGCACATTCGCGGCCAGCTTCACTTCTCTTGCAAAGTCCGTACCACCACGAACCACCACACATCTTCTTGGGCTGGCGCATGCGCTACCGGTACTTCAGTCCCGGAAGCCTCACTCTGGTCGCCGACCGATGCTGCACGCACACGATTAACTGTGCAAAGCTTCGACCTCTGCATCCTCTTCCGAGGGCCCCCTTCGTCGTAAGTAGCCGGACGCAAGAGCCAAAGCACAGCGCAGCGGCGCAGCGGCGCCTGAACAGGCCCTTGCAGCGGTACACGAAGCCGGCGGAGCCCTCCAGCGACGAGACACGGAGAGGCGGCCCAGAGGCTTGGGATGACGGCGAGCAGCGAGCGGAGCCCAGCCCGGTCGGCCCGGCCCGGCCTCCCACAAGACGTCTGCGAGCCAGGAGCGCACCTAGCAGAGCGAAGACCCCCGGCAGATTCTGCCCCCTCGTCGCGAGAAGAGCGGGCTTTAGGCCTGGCCTTGTCAGGATCATAAAGCGTCTCTGCCTGCGCCAGAAGCTCTAGCTTCAGCTACTGCACCACATGTCAAAAACGAAAAAGAAAGCTTTCTCGCCTCGCCATGGAGCAGGACGCTTTCGATCCCATGTCCACCGTAAAGTTTCCCGATCTGCAGCGCCGCGCAGCTGTGACTGCCGTACGAACCCCGCGAGGAGCCGCGAGGAGTGCAGTCCGGGGGCAGGGCTGGCTGTTCTGTCTCACATTGGGAGCAAGGGGCAGCCTCGTCGGAGCCTCACAACAGGTGTCAGCTCAAACGAAAAGCTTCAATTCTGAAGTTCGGCAAATGCGTGTTGCTCAGACGCTGTGATGAAGCTACAACGCACGGAGTACTGAGTACAGCTCTCTAGCGGCAGGCAGCTTGAAGCTCGAGGGCCCGGCCGTGAGAATGGCCGTGAGAGTGCTCATGCGAGTGGGAGTGGCCGTGGCCATGCTCAACCTGCCCCAGCTTGCGGCGCTTGCGGCGCCAGCGGCATTTACTCCCTTGGCCCCTGCCTCGTTCGTAGACAGAGCCTGCAAAGATGCTTCCAAGCCTGAAAAGAGCACAAAGCACCTTGAGAACACGGCCTCGGCTCAGCCACTGTTTGCCACTTCGAGGCCGGAACGGTCCCTGCTGAAAGCACGCAGGCCCAAAATGTCGACAAGGGACCTCGGAAACATCCGGAGCGATTCAGGAAAACAAGCGACAAAACGGCTCAAACAACAGCCCAGGACACACAATCGAAATTCCACTGATTCTACTAGCACTGCGACCACCACCACCACCACCACCGCCACCACCACCGCTGCCACTGCCGGCCACCACCACCAACAACAGCACCCACTACTACCACCACTACTGCTGCTGCTACTGCTGCTTCTACTTCTACTTCTACTTGTACTTCTACTTCTACTTCTACTTCTACTACTACTACTACTACTACTACTACTACTACTACCACCACCACTACTACTACTACTACTACTGCTACGGCTACCGTTACAACCACTACCATCACTACTTCTGAACGACCTCGGGCTATTCGAGCCCCTGGTCGTAGGTGGCAAACCCCAAACCCGAAAAACAAAGAAGATGCTTGCAGACCCTAAAGAACGAACCAACATGGTTGAAGGCACACCCCAAAAGACGATCGTGGGTGGAAGACCCCGAACGTAAATGTTCAACCAAAACAAGGCCGTCGGTAGCAGGCCCCAAACCTAAAAGCATTGCAAAACAAGATCGTGGGTGGCAGACCGAAAATTCTAAAATGAAACCAATCGCGGGTGTCAGACCCCAAACCCTAAATTCAAAACAAGATCGGGGATGGCAGACTCCACACACTGAATTTCAAACAAGATCGTGGGTGGCAGACCCCGAACCCTGAAAAGAGGCAAAACCCAAACCCTAAATTTAGAACAAGATCGTGGGCAGAACAAGACGGAGGCAGACCCCAAACCCTAAAATGAAAAAACGATCCTGGGTGGCAGACCCCAAACCCCAAAATTTAAACAAGATCGCGGGTGGCAAACCCAGGAAACGATCGTGGGTGGCAGACCCACACCTCTACATTTAAAACAAGATCGTGGGCGGCAGACCCCAAACCCGAAATCGAAAGCAGGACGGTGGGTGGCACACCCGAAACCCCAAAATTCAAAACAAGATCGTGGATAGCAGACCTCAAACCCTAAATTTAAAACAAGATCGTGGGTGGTAGACCCCAAATGCTAAAAC